GTGCGGCTGGGTAAGTTGGGGAGGACAGGGCTGGCTGCTGGCAGCTCTTTTGCCTCGGAGAAGACCAGATGAAAGAGAACAAGGTGAGCATCCTTCAGGGGTACTCAGGGCCCGCTTTGCCCAGATCCCCCTTTCATTGACGGCCAGGGGCCTCTTAAGCTACCGGAAGTGTAAGCAGGTAGAAGTCACCAGAACCAACCATCAATGAGCAGGCAGAGGCCCTCCATGTAAACGTTTGAGGCCCGTATATACACCACGGAGCTGTCTGCCGCTCAGCCACTAGAGCGAGGAGGGGGATGCCTCCCTTCCCCGCAGGCCACAGCCTCAAATCTCTCCGTCCCAGCTCTTCCCCTCCACCCTGCTTCACCCCCTGTGTCTTTAATCAGCTCCCCTGTATACAAATATGTGACTAGGGACTGGTGTCACTGGCCATGGGCAGCACTCGGCAAGAGAATACAGGGGAAGGCCTTGGGCCCTGAAAGGAGCTTGTCCTGCTAACATAGTAGACCCATGTTGCTGCTCTGCGCCAGGCCTTCCGTGGGCTTTGCCACGCGGAGTCATCATAACAGCTCAACAGTCCGTCATCACTGCCATCTTACCTGAAACTGAGGCTCGGTCAGGGCAAGTGTCCTGCTGGTTCATACAGCTAGTAAGTGGCACAGGGAGCCCTGAACCCTGTCCAGCTGTCTCTAGGATGCTGGTTCTTCTCCTGTGAAAGGCCCTTGACGACGGGTCCCTGCAGGGCCCCGGCACCCTGGGCCTGGGAAGCTGGCTCTGAGGCTGATGTGATGTGCAGCCAGCCATCCTGGCCCCTCCCTGAATGTGGCCTGGGGAAGGAGACCACTAGACTCCATGCCTCAAGTGACTCCCCCCTGCCAGAGAGGCTGGCCCTGGGGCTATGGCCACATCCTCATCCAGACACAGGACTGAGTACAGGGCTGCCATCTGGGCTGTCTGTATGCTGGTGTAGCCTGGCATGTGGGAGGTCTGAGGATCCCATCCCAAGCTCTTCTTGCTCCTGTCATTCTCCATCACGGCCCTGGAGGCCTTCGTGTGCCTGGGGGCAGTGGACCGCCTCTAGCACCACTTCCTTGTCTCAGTTTCTCCCTCTGTAAAATGGGAAAATCACTTTGTGCCCCGCAGGGAAGCCCACTGTCAGTTTTCCAGCTAGCAAATCAGTGAAGCACAGCCCTTCATCAGCCTCCTGCGGGGCAGGCTGGGCCCCGGGGGGTGGGGGGTGGTCGGTAAGGCTGAACTCTGGGCGGCAGGCCGGCTGCAACATGTGGAGAGAGTGCCGAGTACCGGCAGAGGGCGCGCCGGGCGGGCATTCCTTCGGCTGGCCAAGCGCCCCACCTCCTGGACGCTGGGTGAACTGCAGAGCCAGCAGCGGGCCTGTGATCTTCCACAAATGGGAAAGCTATTCCAAACTTCCTAATTCTCAGAAAATCTTCCAGAACTAAAGAAGAGCAGAAATTTGACATTCACAAAACTATTGCTGGACCGGGAGCCAAAGAGCTGGGGCTGTAGGTGGGATCAAGTCACTAACCACTATGCCGCTTGCCCCTCCTTTAGGCTTTGGTTTTATCCCCTAAGAAGTGGGGAAGTTTGGTCTCCTCTGAGAGACAGAGAGAGAGAGATACAGAGAGATAGAGAGTTGAGGGAGCACGTGAGGAACATCACCTCATTGGTGCCAAGGCCAGTGTCATGGCCAGAACCCCAGTGGGACTCACCCTTCCCGTCTCCTGGCCCTGTCCTCCCCTGCCTGAGAGTCTTGGCCAAGCAGCCAGGTTGGCTCCTTCCTCACTGTACGCTCACCCCCCTACGCAGAGTGGCTCCTTCTGGCTCCAAGCCTGCACGTGGCCCTGGCAGGCCTCACGCCTATGTTCTCTTCGTCTCACGTGTCCTCCTATGGCTGGCTAAAATGCTTCTTTCTTTTTTTTTCTTAAAAACGTTTTTTTACATTTATTTATTTTCGATAGAGAGAGACAGAGCACAGGTGGGGGAGGGACAGAGAGAGAAGGAGACACAGCATCTGAAGCAGGCTCCAGGCTGTGAGCTGTCAGCACAGAGCCCGACGCGGGGCTTGCGCTCGCAAACCGCGAGATCATGCCCTGAGCCGAAGTCGGACGCTCAACCGACTGAGCCACCCAGGCGCCCCTAAAATGCTTCTTGCAATGGGAAGAGCACCAGAGATCAGGAGATCCAAAGACAGCTGCCAGTGTGGTAATTTATGATCTGTGTCACCTGGAGCAAGTGCTCCCTCTCTGGGCCCCTGTCCCCATCTGTAATCCCAGAGCTCTGTGCAACGGTTGGAAAACAAGATGACCAGCTCGAAGAGTTTTCTTGCCCAGCCCTACCTGCTGTCCTGTCTCTAAGGTCTTGTGCCAAACATCCAGGAGGAAGGACCCTTCAGGGTTCTTTCATCCTCTCACCGGCGTTAGCATGATTACCTTGAGGATAGGGGTTATTTTCTTTTGGAGAGATCTCAAGATCCCCAGTAGGTGGCAGTAGTCTGGGAGTCGGAGACCCGGGTCCTGTCCCAGCTTGCCATTGGCAAGCCACGTAGCTTTGGACAACCGGGTAAGCACGCAAGACTCAAAGTTTCCTCAAAGAAGGGTACTTACCTCTCAGGATGCTAGAAGGAAAAGGGAGCAAAGGAGGAAGTGCTTTTTAAAAACGTACACCAGGAGAGACAACAGACTTGTATTTTCCTTTCTCTCAGTGACATGGTGAGTGCTGGCCCGTTGGCTCCCACTCTCTGAGGTTGCTATTGGGAACCCGTAGGGTATCTAGAAATAGTGGCTTATTCCGTTAACAAGGTGAGAAAGGCAGGTCTCAGGGTTTAATTTGCCGTCTAAGGGAGTGAGGGATTGAGTCACTGAGCGCTTTCGTCCTGCATTCCAGGCTCCCCTGTGGCCTTCTATGCCAGCTTTTCAGAAGGGACGACTGCCCTGCAGACAGTGAAGTTCAACACTACCTACGTCAACATTGGCAGCAGCTACTTCCCCGAACACGGCTATTTCCGAGCCCCCGAGCGCGGGGTCTACCTGTTTGCAGTGAGCATTGAATTTGGCCCCGGGCCAGGTACAGGGCAGCTGGTGTTTGGAGGTCACCATCAGACCCCTGTCGGTTCCACTGAGGAGCGGAAGGGCGGAAGCACGGCAACAACCTTTGCCATGGCCGAGCTGCAAAAAGGCGAGAGAGTGTGGTTTGAGTTAACCCAGGGATCCGTAGTAAAGAGACACCCGCCAGGCACGACATTCGGGGGATTCCTTATGTTCAAGACCTGAACACTGGACACGGCCCCGACCAGACGTTGCGGACTCGCCCAGCTCTCCTTGGCCTGGAGCCCTGGCCAGGGGTGGTCTGGAGACCATCCAGCCGGTCCAGTTCTTCCTGGAAAACTTCTGCAAAGACAATGTGGTGTATGTGGCCTCCCTCTAGATGAGCTGGGTTTCGCTATTTCTTACTGACAAGAAGCACCGGAATACTCCTCTCTGGGCAGAACCCGGCCCGGGACGGGTGAACGTTAGCTTGGCGCGCCTTCTGAGGCGGCATGGCTTGGACTCCGGCTCTCTGCCACACCTGTGTTTTACGGCATCTTTGGTGTGCTGCTCCTCCTGGGGTTGGAGACTTGAAACCTTTCTCCCGCTTCTTCTCCCTGACCTTATGCCAGAAAAGCGTTCTTTCCCGGAAGGAACGTTCCACACAGAGGTGACGTTTTGGACAATGTTGGAAACCGGTCTCTACCCACTACAGGGCAGTAGGAGAAAACCAACCTGTTTGGCCTTTACTAGCAACGGGGACAGAGGCCTCACTGAGTGACCAAAGGAACAAAATTATTATCTTCTCTTCAGTTTTAGTCCTTCTTTGAACTTATCTGTAGCCTTAATTTCACTTCTTTTTCTCCTTGCCACCAGAAGATAAAGGCCAAGCATGCCAAACATGAACTAAAATGTGTACAGCCTTTACCTTTTTTTTTTTTCCCCACTTCCTCCACTAGCTAATGAGCGCCCTCATTCTTATTAGCATCTCTCACCAGGAAGGAGGCTGAGGGAGGAAGTGAAGGAAGATGGTCAAAATCTTCCTCAATAATGATCAGCTCTGGAATAAAGCAATGCCCTTCAAATCTCTGCCTGGTTTACTTGCGGAGAGCAGAAAGATTTGGTAAAGTAAGTAGAAATAGAGGAAATGAAACTCTTTGGGATAAACTTGACTCTCATCATTCCAGGCCGTGTTTGACTTCACGACTTCAGTTAAGTTCCACATAAAACACGCAAGAGTCCTCCACGGTAGGCGGTGATGTGAATCTTGGGAGGAGACAGCACAGCCCAGAGTTGCCCCTATTCCCGCAATATCGATATATGGTTTTCAAAACATTACAGAGCCTGGAGCAAACTGGCTTGAGAAAGCCGTCATCGAATTGTCAGGAAATGTTTGTAGGTGTTCAACATTTGGGGTTTGTTAATTAAAAAAAAATTTTTTTTTTAATTTGAGAGAGAGAGTGCACGCAAGCAGGGGAGAGGGCCAGAGGGAGGGGGGAGAGAGAGAAAGAGAATCCTAAGCAGGCTCCGTGCTTAGCGCACAGCCTGACGCCAGGGTTTGATGCCACAACCCTGGGATCACGACCTGAGCCAAAATCAGGAGTCAGACACTTAACCGACTGAGCCACCCAGGAGCCCCTCAAAACTTGTTGAACACACTCTTCTCCATAAGCAAATTGGATTGGACTGGGTAGTGAACAAGGACGGGGGTTGGTTGTCAGGGTTAACGAGGTTCTCAGCCCTTCTCCTTGTTTCCTAAGGGTCATTAATTCAAACAGTTGTCCCTCAGAATTTATTTACCACTAAGCTCTGTGTGCTCAGTGTGCTCAAACATTAACGTTCAAAGAAGTGTGTGCCAGGCCGTTCTGCCACTGACAGCTTGACCCTGGAGTAAACCACCACCTCTCTGAACTTTTTCCTTTGGTAGTATGAGGTGGCTAGGCTAATAGCTTTCATTAAGTGTCTTGGTGTTTTATTATCTCGACCACAGGGCTGACTCTGGCCTTCCTGCCCTTCGCTCTGGCCAGGGCCTCTTGCCCAATGTGGCTCTCAGTTGCCAAGACTGATCCCAACCCAAGGCATGATGCATTTGGGCCATTCCCGACCAAAGATTGGGAAGCCAGTACAGGCCCCCCTTGCTGCTAGAAAGACCTCACTGTGTCTTCTTTCTGCTCAATCTGGCTACTGTTGGTCAAGCCGTACTAAGTGGAAATGTTAGGGTAGCGTGGTCTTACCATTTAAGATGTTCATTTGGAATGTATTACAGATAAACAGAGTGAACTCATCTCCATAACGGACATACGTCCGCTAACCCTCACGTGGCATGGTGCTCTTCAACAGGAAGGTTGTAAATGCAAGTGCTAATTGGTAAATTCTGCCAGCAGCATGGATGAATCGCTCCAGAAGTTTCTGGGATGAGAACTGGAGAAAACAATGGTTCTTTTATTTATTTTTAAATTTTATTTTGATTTCGAGAGCGAGGAGAAAGTGGGGGAAGGGAAGAGGGAGAGAATCTTAAGCAGGCTCCACGCTCAGTGCAGAGCCCAACGCTCAACCAACTGAGCCACCCAGGCACCCCAACAGTGGTTCTTTTAAATAGGATGCTTTCCAGTCAACAAAACCAATTTCACAAAACCTTAATATTATGTTTAAGTACTTCTATAATGAAGACACCAGATTAGCAAGAATTCTAGAGTTCACTTGACAGATTTCTGATCTCCACTATGGCATCTAATATCTCTGGGTAGACTCTTTTTCCATTGCCTACCAGCCGTAGTGTTCCCCAGGGGTTAAAACATACTTCACTGTGGCATCCAGAACGAGGCAATGGTGGTATCCCTACGTCCCCAAATTTGATGGGGAGAAAAAAACCACGAATATATTCAAAAACAATATTGAAAAACAAGAAAGGGTACCATAAGCAGGTCAGAACATTTTCCTAGTTCCTGAAAAATGGGAAGTAGAGGGGATCAAGTACAAAATGGAATAGGAGTAGGAAATCATAACCCAAAACCTTTGAGACTCCTGGAGATGGGAGTGATTTCGAGGGAACCCCAAACTGAAACTCAGCCCCTAAGACAGTTGAGGGGGTGAGCAGAGGCGATACAGCTGAGGGGCAGCAGGCCCGGGGTCCCAGCCGTCCCCTGCCTGTGCAAAGCGGCTGGCGGCGGTGGCCTCTGCCCCGACCTAGGCAGTGCGGGGCGATCCTGGGCCTCCACCTGCAGGCTGGCTACTGCCCGTGGAGGCAGGAAGCTCCCAGAAGACATGGATAACCTTACCCGCAGCAGTCCAGACGCATGTTCCCAGACCACAACATACTGTCGAAGTAACGCCTGACCTTTACTTTTATTTCAGAAACAACTTTTTTATTTCAGAAACACTGTGGAGAGGATATATGGTCTGTAAAAGATGTTCCTTTAAAAAATTTTTTTTAACGTTTATTTTTGAGAGAGAGAGAGAGAGGGAGAGAGTGGGGGAGGGGCAGAGAGACAGGGAGACAGAATCCGAAGCAGGCTCCAGGCTCCAAGCTGTCAACACAGAACCTGACATGGGGCTCAAACCCACCAACTGTGAGATCATGACCTGAGCCGAAGTAGGGGGCCGAT